TCTCCTGCCTCTGCTACCCACTGGTTCTGACACATGAGGAAGTTATTGAACTGCTGTGTATTCTTTTCCCATCTGCAGGACAGATATAACTGCAGTCACTGTTTGCAAAGCAGGGAGTGAAGCAAGATGGACAACAGCTAGAGGGAGTGTAAAAAGTAATACAGGAGTACAGGATACCCAGGAACAGGGGCGTCTTTCCCAGGCTGGAAACAAGTGGATGTTCAAATGAAAAATAATGGATTATTGGAGATGGACCTTCCTACAGAAACAGACACAGGCCTCAGCACCAGCTTTTTTTTTTTTTTTTTTTTTTTTTTTTTGTTTTTTTGTTTTTTTTGTTTAAACACTGCTGATTCCATCGAGAAACCGAGGGACATCTGAGGCAGGGGAACCAAGAGCTTTTACTGAGTATGCCCACAAGTATGCACGAGGGACAGGAACTCAAGTCTCCAAAGACCTGGCAAGGACCAAGCCAGGAGCAGCATCAACATCTTCCCTCTCAGAGCAGGAAGATGAGACACCCCTCACCTGGTGCAGGTTAGGTAGATATTTGCTGGGTTTGCAAACCAAATTTCTTCAAGGTGTGCCCATGACAATCTCTTCAGACAACATCCCTTGCAATATTCCCCTTTTCTGATCTTTGAGTGGTACTTGGAGATGTGCACAGAAACATGTGTTGAAACAGCATTAAGAACGTAACTTAAACCCACAAAAGTCAGGAGACAGAGTGAAGGCTGAAAAAATGTGGGTGGATATCCATCCTGTCCTTAACTCACTCCAATTCTAGACAAAATTGCAGCTTCGTACATCTGATCTCCAGCAGCACAGGGAGTGGCCACTGGGGCCAGCTCAAGAATTCTCTTTCCAATTGTAGCGGTGTGCTTTTGTGGTAGAACATGCTTTTTTCTTTTCCCCCTTTCCTTTCTTTTTTCTTTCTCCCAGGACTTGCCTCTTTCTCTCTCTTTGATTATTCCTTCTATTTGTTCCTCGAGCCTTTCTGGATAATACTTGGAGAGACTTGATTAAGACTCCAACTGGATTCATTTACCACCAAAGCACTGAATAATCTCCTGAGCTTTGCCATGGCCAGACCCAAACACTCTCGCCTTACTCTAAACCATCCCTCAAAGAACAATTTGGCTCCCTGCACCTGTCTCTTCTTACATGACTATGCTCAGGAGCCAGAGCACAGAAACATCAGATGTTGCATTAATGGCTACAAACCTAAAGCTTCAGCTAAAAACCTCAACAACTGTTCAGCAACAGGTGCACTATGGTCTGAATGCCAAAATTACAGCAGAACTTTCTCTGGAGGTTTCAGCAGCTTCTCGGGGAGCCTGTGTAACAGATCCATGAGCAGGTTGGTACCCGAGAAGAGCTTTGTTTGCTGCCTTTATTTGTCTGCAGTGTGAACTCCAGGCCTTTTTCTCTCCTCTACTGCAGTAAGAGGAGCACCATTGCGTTCACTTGTTTAATGCTGCTGTAAAAAAGACATAAGGCAGTTCCTCCTGGCAGGGATTTTTCTGGTGCATTTCTCTGTTTCATTCTGAGAAGGATTCTCATAGGGGTGCTAATGCCAGTCCAAACTCCCTCCAGATTTTGACTGTCCTTTATTTCTTTGTATGGGAAGTCCTGAGCAGATGCAGTGAGAGCAGATACATTTTTGAAAACACTTTATTCTTTGGATGACTTTGCTGGAGCTGCCAGTTCAGAGAGCAGATTTGGGCACTTCTCTAGTGTGAGAATGAGCTTTCTTCCAACAATCCCAGAGAGCTTCACCACATTTTGTGTTAAGCCTCCTCTAGGAAAAATAAGCTATGCTCCATTGTTCTTGAATGAATCTGTGTTTTTACAAGTATAAAATAATGCATTCCAGAAGACAGGTGTGATGTAGGAAGGCTCCAGTGCTCAACAGATGAGAGAGAATAATTTCTGTGATTGCTCAAGCAGTGTGGGTGGACGATGCTGCTACCTCCCCTGTGTCCTATGGTCACATCCCCAAATGCTGTGGTACAAAAGAATCTTTCCCTTTAACTTTGTGTTGGGACCTTGGGACTCTGTTCTTCATCTCCAGGGCATTGGTTCTTGAACTTTCCTCTCTGAAGATGTGGATGTCTTGCACATCTGGTAGCTTTTGGGATGGGAGGGTGCAGATCCTGTCTATCTATTCCTGAATCCCTTCCAAATTAGGAGATAGGGATGCCAAGTCTGGTTCTACCCTACATCCCACCTGCAGCTGGACATGTGCCTTGGCTGTGGCATTGCAGCCGTCCATGGAGCATGTTAATGATCTGCCAATGCTAACCGGGAGCACCTTCCAGCCACGTGGACTTGATCCACCAAACCATCATACTGGAGTTCCAAGTATTTGCCCAGATGCTCTGAGAATTAAGGCAGCTTTAAACTGCTCCCCTGAACCCCTCATCTAGCTCTGCATCCCTCATCCCAGTTTTGCAGTCCCCAGGATTGCTCAGGCTGCCTATTTCTGTTAGAAGTTCCTCCTTGCTGACTGCTGCATGCAGATTTTAGGAATGCATTGATACATGACATCTTAATACAAACCATACCAGTAACATTGGAATTTAAATATTCATGGCTACTGAACGCAGATGGTGAACACTGTGTGCCAATACGTTATTGCTTTGAGTCTCTGCTGAAGTGAGGCTTAGTCCAACTTTATCTGAACGCAAGGATTGCAGTCTAATCCTTTGGGGCTTTGTCTTGCAATTACAACAAATAACTATTTATTTTACACTGCCTCTGGGAAAACCCCGAAGCAGAAAACTGTAATATCTGAAGTCTGGTCTAGTTTACGTAGCTGGATGCTGACTGCTAAAACACTTAGGGAATGCCAGTGTTTCGATTTATTGAACGCACTGTGTGACTTACGCTTCAGCATGCAAAATTCATGAAAACTTTCAGCTCATTAAACACATTTTCTCAAGTTTGAAAATACACTTGTTTTACTCAAACTTTAGAAAAAACCAGACCTGAGACAAGAGCTGCTGTTCAAAACTAGCTGTTTACTTGCACAAACATAAGCAAAAAGAACCGATAGACCAGAAATACTACGTGGCAGGTTGAACTAAACCCAATCAGATGCAATGGGTTTGCTTTCAGTTCTTTTAACGTGGAAACCCATCACATACTGCAGCATGAAGGCTTAAAAGATGTGTGGTTTTGGGAGATAATTAAAGAACGCTTGCCCCACGAGCATATTAGAGCCTGACTCTGACCCGCGGGTTATGACTTTGTTGTTGATTTAGGCAGGGACATGCTATGCACACACCTGGTGTTTATGGAAAGCACAGTGCGGAGATAAGCTTCCCCAATTGTTCCAAAAACCTGCCTTACACCTCCAACAATAGCAGCAGCAGCAGTTCCTGGAGTATAAGAAAGGGCTGGCTGCAAACAAGTAAAGGCAAAAAAAAAATAATTCCTTTCATCGAGGAGTTAAATCACTTGAACACTATAAAAAGTCTTGAGAGCACGTCTTGCAACCTGTTGACAACATAGCTGAGATCACTGGCATGCGACTTGTTGATAGCTTACACAGACACCTGCACTAGATGCTGGAGTAGCGGGAATTTTTCATGGCTGTGCTCAAACTGACTGTACTCCTTTGCCTGTGGCTTGGGATGCATTTTTTGAAGATTACATATAGTCTCATTAGAGATCCCTGCTCTTGTGTGTACTGATACAGGCACTGCAGTCTTCCAGCTGTATCCCGGGCAGCAAGGTAAATCCACGGTGCTCTGCCTATTGTTCCATCTTCTCCTTTCTTTCCGAGGTCCCCTAAATGTTTTTCACCCTTCAGCTTCCCCCTTTCCTTTCCAATAACCTTCCCAAACCCAGCTCCTGACACCTATCCAGCCGACTGCTCCCTGCCCACTTCGGGGCGACAGCCTTCTAATGAAATTCATGCAAGTAAAAGAAAGCAGCTCGCAAATATCTGCAGAAGCCAAAAAGAAGGAGGAGGAGGAAAACAGAAACAACCAAAAAAAGCGAGGAATTTCTGTTTCCAACATAGGAATTTCCAAGAAATTCCAACGAGGAATTTCTCTCTTTTGCCTCCCTCACCGCTAACTTCCGAGGTGCGGTTGGAGCTCGTCACCCTCCCTCTTTTAAGTTTTTTTTTTTTCATTTTTTCTTTTTTTTCCCCCCTGTTAAGGCACGTTTTAGTGCACCTGCAGAAGGGCTGAGCGCCGGGAGAGTAGGAAATTGGAAATAAAAACTCCTGCATTGCTGGGGAGTGAGCGCATTTGTTTAGGAGGCCAATTATATCCGTCCCGGGATGATTTATATTAGCGGGGTAATTAGTTGTGCGCGCGGGGCACCTGCTCCCGGCCCGGCCGGGCACCCCCGGCCCCTTACCGAAGCGGCTGTGGTCCTGCCGGGTGCCCTGAACGGTGCCGTTGGGG